TAAATGCTTCATTAAATGTGAATGTTACTGGTACTGTATATTAGTCTGTCAAACATTTTGTGCAGTTTTTTTGAGGTACGACATTTAAAAAAAATACTTTTCTATAATATATTTACTCTGTAAAAACAGATATATGTATGTTATTTAGGCTGTAGTAATTATTACTTGTTACTTTCGAAGTGAAATTCTTATTTTCATCCAAAACAAACACACATTGGTGCTGACTTGTGCATGGTTATTATGAGCGCTCAGACTCCCCATTGTAGCATAAGCGTCAGTGCATTTTTGTGGCTTACAGTAAAAGGAGAAGCGTCTCATTCATAATGCATGTCTGTAGTTGAGCGCGTATGAGCCGGTGCATTCCTGTGATGTGACCCGAGAGAGATCAGGCCAGCACATCAGCAGGACACTCCGCTGACGAGCCTAAAAACATTAACTATTGCTTTTAATCACATTTCATCAGTTGACTGATTGCATTACGAATCGGACATTAACATTTTTGGTAATACAAGTTTTAAAAATGTTATGTTTGAATATGCAAATGAGGTTTTGTCTATTTAAATATGGACTAATTTGCATTTATATTTAAACACAAAAATATGAACATTGAATGTCAGTCAGGTTTGAAAGTATTGTTTCTTTTGTTACGGCATTAAAAGAGACAATACTGGGAGCAGGCAGAAATATATGAAATAATGTACATTCTCAATTCACAAATATTTGTAGAATAAAATGTTATGTACAATCCTGGGGATAACACATTACACGTAATGGGAGTTGCATAATAATATAATTTTTCTAAGTAACAGGTAAAATAACGCATTACTTTAAAAAAAAATGGTGGTAACACTTTACAATAAGGTTCATTAGTTAATGCATTTACTAACATTAACTAATCATGAACAACACATATACAGCATTTATTAATCATAATTGAACATTTACTAATGCATTATTAGCATCCAAGTCCGTGCTTGTTACCATTAGTTAATGCACCGGGAGTTAACATGAACTAACAATAAACAACTGTATGTTCATTAACTTATGTTAACTAACAAGAATAAATACTGTAGTAAATGTATTGTTCATTGTTTGTTCATGTTAGTAAATGCATTAATTAACATTAACTAATGAACCTTATTGTTAAGTGTGTCCAAAATGGAAATAATATTTGAGTTACTTTTTTGAAAATGTCATACTTTTTAGTTTTTTAGTTTTTAGTTTTACTTTTTAGTTTAGTTAATTAGTTATATATATATATATATATAGAATTAAAATAAACTATTCACAAAGAATAATGCTTTCAAGCACTGTAAAAAATGCAGGGTTCTACACAGTTTATTCATGTTGTCCCAACACAAATCGATTAAGTTAACTTAATTCTTTTAACAAATTTGTGGAATGAACATGAAAAGATTAAGTTGTCTCAATGAAATCCTATGAATTGTGTTGTTTCAGCTCATTTTTAAGTAAGTAGTTTGAACGAGCAAAAAAATAAAAGAATTGGAGTGATGAGAGAATGAGTTCATTATTTTGAGTGCAATAAAGAAAAGGAAAAGGGGCTTGTCTCAATGGACTGTGATTTGATCTAAAACAAATAGTACAAAAGTAGCAGATACTTTGCACTGGAAAAAGCTTTCAATCTTCCAATTAAAACAATTTAGATAAAAAAAAAAAATAATAATTTGCCTTAAACAATATTTTATTATCTCCACGAGAACAATTTTAAATCACCTGGTGCAAAGCATATTTGGCTTGTTGAAGAAAGTCAATTCATTTAAATTGTTAAGAAGATATAGCTTGAATAATAATAAAAAAAAAAAAACTATTCCCATAAAAATATGATCAGTATAATTGCATGTTTAACCATAAAATTTTATATTGGTCAAAACAAAGATTTCTTAGTTGAGCTCTTACTCAAAAACATTTATATTTAACTATGTTTTGAACTTAAAATATATTACTTGAAAAATAAAACAAATAATATTAAACTGAAATGAAAGATACATTTTTTAATTGGAATTTTTTTTCAATGTGCTTTAAACTTTCATTAATCTGTATATCGGGCATGTATAGCTCTGGGGTCAGAGTTCTAAGTTCTAAGATAACATTATCCTAAACTTTTATTATTTTTTTTATGTGATTTTTTTTTTTTTTTTTTTTTAAGCAAATGAAGGTGTAGGTTATACAGTGCGTTGTTAACTGCAGAACACCTCTATTAAAAAAAGAAAGAAAGTTCTGAAAGAGACCAAGTCTCAACCAGGTAATAAAAACGGAAAAGTAACTCAGAAGTAATGTAATACTTTATTTACTATAGAAAGTAACTAAAGCCCTGCTCACACTGGGAGATTTCAGCCAGAATTTTTTTTCATCTGAGACAAATTTGGGAAATCCTAAAAGATTCCTGAACTCCTAGGCTAAAATCGGTGGTCTTTGATCGTTGGTTTGACATGTTCACAGACAGCCGCTGATGAAGTTCTGCATTTTCAGAAGATTTCAGACATTTTCCTGCAGTGTGACAACAGCTCTGATGAGCGCCAATCAACAAAACCAATAGGAGCTCCGAATTTGAGGACCCAATTCATGCGTCAATTCAAATGAGCGCGGCCAAATGTCAAAACAGTTTTTTTCTTCCTGGTTTAATCATTGTAAAAATTGCCGCTACATATTGTTTACATTTGCTGTGATGAATCAATTCAGAACGCGGGATAGTGAAAGTGTCAAGGGTGAATGACGTCAAACTCCGGGGACATTTTCTTTTGTGTTTGGTCTTCATTGTCGTTCAGTGTGATGTTATGACAGCTGAGATCTTACCGTGTGACATGTTAACCATGTTCATACAGTCTGACATGCTGCTCGTTCAGGATTATAAAAAACCACGCAGTGCGAGTCGGCCTTAAGTAATGCAACAAGTAACTTTTTTTAAGAAGTAACTCAATATTGTAATGGATTACTTTCAAAAGTAACTTTCCACAACACTGGTTATATATAACAAGAGAAGCTATACTGTATATAAACATATGCCTCAGTTAAAACATTCGGAATACAGGTCTGGTTTAAGTAAGTGATGTTAATTAAATTGGAGATTTATGACTGTAAAACTGATTTTGAGAAATTATGTTTTTATTGAAAACACATATAAAGAGTGATAAAAGAAACACTAAAAGTACGGAAGTTTTCTTTACATTAGTCTTAAAAAAAAACTTTCTGAAAAGCTAAAAACTGTGCTGTATTTTATTTGGATTTTTTTGTCTGCAGTGTATCGTCTTTACTATGAACAAGTCAGTGAAACCCAGAAATGAAGTCAAATGGCATGACCTGTTAGTGCTGAACACAGACTCCAAATGTTGTTGTTTTGATTGCGCCGGCTGAACAATAGAAAGGTCGCATGCACGAGCTTCACTCTCGCTGACATTTGTTCTCCGTCAAAACAAAACTCAATCCCCTGAGTTACGTGGGTCATGAATTATTGGCTCTTTTTGTGCAAAGCAGTTCAGTCTGACCCTCTAATGCGCATTTATTCATCTGCGTCTCAGCTGTGAGTGTGTATAGAGGTGATGACGGTGGCGGTGCGGGAATAAGACGTGTGGCCCACGTCATTGCGCACGTCAGGAAAATACCCAATTATATTAATGCTCCCCGGGGATTAGGGGTCAGCGTGGTGTAAGCACAGTTGGGAGGATCTAAGGACTAAAGGGATGAAGGTTAAGGACGGCACTCCTGCTGGGTCGGGGAAGCCCTCCTAAATTAACTTTGCCAGAAGCATTTTTAGTTTGTTTTCTTTCTTGTTGTTGTAACAGTTTTTTGTGTAGCTTGTATTTTATTACCTTGCTGCTTTCGCAATACTTCGCTGAAGTGTCCTTAATTAAAAAGTTGGTCAAATTAGTGCAAATGTAGAATTCTTTTTTTTTTTCTTTTTTCGTTTTGTTTAATTTTTTGTTTTGTTTCATTTGGGTTTTGTTTCCTTTCATTTTGTTTTGGTTTGTTTAATTTTTTACTTCACTTTGTTTATTTTTGTTTTGTTTTGTTGTGCACGTGTTGTGTTATTACAATTAATGTTTAATTTTTGGATATATATTAATATTGTAATTTATTAATATTTATATAATAATATTTGGAATATTTTAACATTTCTTTTATTTTAGTTTTGTTTCGTTTTTTCGTTTCATTTTGTTTCACTTAGTTTCATTTTGTTTCATTTTGTTTTGTTGTTCACGTGTTGTGTTATTGTAATTAATGCTTATTATTTGTATATATTTAAATTATAATTTATTATTATTTATCATAATATTTGGAATATTTTATATATTTATTTTATTTTATTTTTGTTATGTTTGGGTTTCATTTTGTTTTGTTTAATTTTGTTTCGTTTTATTTTTGATTTGCTTCACTTTGTTTCAATTCATTTCATTTTGTTGTACACGTGTTGCATATTAGAGTTAATGTTTAATATTTTGATATATTTATGTTTATGTTTTTCATAATTCCCATAATATTTAGATTATGGTTACTTAAATACAGTTCTTTTTTTCATACAGCAAACAAGTGGAAAAGAGCAAACACTGAAATTGGCAGTACAACACTAAAATCAATATGTAAAAGTCAAAAAATATAGTTTTTTATTATTATTATTATTATTATTAATTAAAATTTAGTTCACAACTGTTTTAACACATTTTATACAACACTCAAAAATGACATTTGTTGCTATTTCAAACTGCTTATTTAAAATGAGCTAAAACAACACAATTATTGAGTTTTTTTGGGGACAACTTGATTGTTTTATATTCAATCTACTTAAATGTGTAAAATCTAATAAGTAATAATTACTTAATTGTGTGGAACTCAGCATTTCTTACAGTCAATTGCTGTAAAAAAAAAAAAAAAAAGGAAATAAACCTGAAATAAATGTTGAATGGTATCAGCTGGTCTAGTTAAAGTCTACATCTTCTCATCTAACACAGCACTAACTGTCCTGTCCTGTCTTTTTGTCTCCTCAGCTTTGATGTGGACAATGGCACCTCTTCAGGTCGCAGTCCGCTGGATCCAATGGCCAGTCCAGGCTCAGGTCTCATCCTCCAGGCCAATTTCGTCCACAGCCAGAGGAGAGAGTCCTTTCTGTACCGTTCAGACAGTGACTACGACCTCTCACCAAAGTCCATGTCCAGAAACTCCTCCATCGCCAGTGACATGTAAGCCAGAGTCTTTCTTATAGACAGAGAACAGTTTTGGTGGCCTGTGCACTTTTTAATAATATGCACCTTTTATTATTGCAAATTCATGTCTAGTTATGAGAGGATTTTTACATTGCATGCCGTCAGTGTCATTATAAAATGCATTCCCTATGAGCTAGTTAAATTTCAGTTCTCAATAAGAGAAAGCCAATGGTTTTGTAACGCCCCATTCACACGAGGCGTCAGCGTCAACGTTTCCCATTCACTTTGAATGGGTAACGTCAGGCGTTGCCGAACTGCATTGGTGATCCGTCGGCACCGCTTCAGAAGCGTTGCTCGCTGCAGATGTTGGGACTAGCTCAATTTTTCAAGCCCAGATGGAAGTGTCAGTCAATCAGATTGCTGGATGCAAACACACCAGCTAGACAGTGGCCTATTGCTAACTGAATTTTACTGGCTGACGCTACTATGACGATTGCGGTAGCCCCAACTTCAGACACGCCTTCAGTTAAGTGTTGACGCTGAAGCCCCGTGTAAATGGGGCGTAATAGTGTGTCACAAGAAGAGACGCTGACAAAGGAAGTGCGAATCCAAACACAGATTTATTATGCAGAGATGGTCAGGCAAGCAACGGTCAACACTGGGCAAACATATGTATACAGGCAATCCAAAATCGCAGCCAATAAGCAGAAAGGTGGTCAAAGGCAGGCAGCAGACAGGAATAAACAAACAAAACAAAGCAAAGATTGGTACATTGCAAGACGAGGCGAGGGAAGGAAAACACGTCATAATATTCACTAACAGTATAACAAGACTCACGCCTGTTTCACACCGCAAGCGTCAGCGGCGCGTGAGCAGAGCGTGAGCAGCGCGTGTGTTTTCGGCGTCCATGTTAACAGATTAGAGCTTTCATACCGCACGCAGCAGCAGCGCGTCAGAGCGAGGCGTGAGCGTCGCCGAAGCAGCAGTGTAGCGATAGTTTCGGCGCTGGGTCTATTTTTGACGCGCTGCTCACGCTCAATTAAAGTGACAGTGCATTGAGAATGACCAAAACACATTGAATGACAGTAAAAACTAACAATTTTACCCAATAAATACGTTAATAATGTCAAATGGTTTATATATAGTCATTCAAATGAACTTAAAACAATTAAAAACGGCAACAAACATTTATTTAGGCCCGAACTACAAAATCAAATGTAAAACTATTTTACTATCAGTTTTGCTTAAGTTGCACACTAGTGTTGTAGGAGAGGGGAAATGGAATATTTACGGGATTTGTAGTCCATAGCGAAGTGTATTGTGGGTAGTGTAGTGCGACACGCAAGCTGGATTATGTGAGCTCGCTGTGTTCTGTGCAGCTAGCAGAGCAAGAAAGTTTTAATCGGCTTTGTTTTATGTTCACTCGAATTATTCCTACCGGGAGCTGTTTGCACTGTGAATCTGACAACACGAAAATAAGTAAAAGAATGGCATGCATTAATTACTTTTGTCCGTCTCATCATCTGCACGAGCATGAATTAACGAGCTGTTATTCTGCCGCTGGACATCACTAAAGCGGAGAAAGTAACACTAGTTTGATCAAGTATAAATATCATTATAACTATATTGTATAAATATGATTATAACTAGGTCTACAGCAACCTGATAATCAAAAAACAAATGACATGATATCACAGGCGATTGTCTTCTGACTGTAGACAATTCTCATATAAGTTAGCTTTAGAAGCATACAGTACTATTTGATCTATAAAATTTGTAAAATAAACATTTGCAGGTTAATGAAACAGCATAGGAGGGGCCTTGGTACAGATGAAAAGTTTAAAAAGTGTATTTGTATATAGAGGGGTAACTAGATAGAATAGACAGAGATAGGTTGATCTCTGGAGCAGCTGCCGAAGAGCTGTGCGCTGCAGACGCAGCTGGTGTGAAAGGCAAACGCCTGCGTGCTGCTACTGCTCGACATACGCGCTGCTCACGCTCTGCTCACGCGCCGCTGACGCTTGCGGTGTGAAACAGGCGTCAGCCCTGATGTGTTTGTGTGCTCTCTTTATAGTTAATGTAATCAGTTCATGAGCAGCTTCAGCTGTAAGTGCTTGCAATCAGAGAGGATCTAGGCCAGGTGTGTGAAGCTGGATTTATACTTTCGCTTGGAGCTGCATCATGCACCTCCGCTGACTGCGCACGCACCTTGCGAAAACAGAGGTTTTTATATTTGCCGCGTTTGCTGCTGTAATATTCTTTAAAACGAAAGGGGCAGTCAAAAGAAAGTGACCGTAAAATCAGATGGATAAACAGAGAAGTAGAAAGTTTCTGTAACTACGTCATATCATTAATATCGCTCAAGATTTTTAAGCTAATTATTTTTATTGTTTTTATAAATTAATTAAATGATTATAAGGGTTTTTATAACCATTCAAGATTTTTAATTAAACTTTGATGCATTATAATTTTATTAATATAGAAATAACAAGAGAAAATGGGTTACTCTACAAAAATATTTTTATTATGACAAGAATAAAAGCAAAAAAAGTACACTTACTAAAAGATACAGATTTTTTTTTTGATTTAGCCCGCTCCAAAATTCAAACATTACTGTCTGGCTAGTTTCTGTCATTTCCTTATGCTAAAAAGGCAATAATGGTCCAACATTCCTGACCATTATCACCAATACAGCCTAGAAAAACAGGCCAACAGTATATTGTAAACCAGGGGTGTCCAAACTCGGTCCTGGAGGGCCGGCATCCTGCAGATTTTAGCTCCAACTTGTTTCAACACACCTGCAAGGATGTTTCTAGTATGGCTAGTAAAAGCTTGATTAGCTAGCCTAGGTGTGTCTGATTGGGGTTGGAACTAAACTTTGCAGGACACCGGCCCTCCAGGACCGAGTCTGGACATGCCTGTTGTAAACCAATAGATTGAAACATTTCTTTCCAGTTATCAAAGAAAGGATTTGTACCTTAATTATAGTTTTGTAACAATGAAATTGTTTAAAATTAAACACATCAGTGTAAAATCTATAAATGGTGGAAACACATATTTCTGTAATTGTGTACCTCGGTCTCCACTTTTGCCATGGCCTCTTTTGGCTTTAACAAACGTATCCCTCAGGTTTTTTCAAACTTTTTAACAAAAACTTTTTTCCTTTCACACTGCATTTGCAATTTCTAGCCAAGAATAATTCTTTTAGCCAAGAATTATTGATCATTTGGTTATCTCTTTGATCACAGATCATAAAGATGTCTGTACAGGCATATTGTTTCAAACAAAATCTCTTCAAAGTGCTTCATATTCAAGCCACTTGCGGCGCCGCACGCACTTTTTGCTCGAGATTTTTAAAAAAAAAAATCATGCGCTCCACCAGCAGAAATCATGTTGCGCGAACCTCTGCAAACTCTGCGATGATGTCACATTCGCCCCGCGCACTCAAGCGTACTAGCAGATGTGTCGAGTATAAACCAGGCTTGAGTGGTGCATTACTGGATATTGCAGTTCTTTTGTTGGCAAATTTGTAGTTCGTTAGCGAACTGTGTTTACCAGCGATCTGCACAGGCTGGATTACTGGTGATCGTAACAGAGTGATTAATCCTTTTTTTTTTTTGCAGACATGGTGATGACATGATTGTTACCCCTTTTGCACAGGTATTGCTATATTTTATATGTTGAAGTTTAAAAGGAGAGGATTTGGCAACAGAGAAATAAATCAAATACTTTTCTTCTCTCAGGTTCTGGCGAGTTTAAGAACTGTCCGGAATAATTTTGCTGCTTTAACAAATGTACAACAGGAAAGATCAAATAACAAGTAAGTCATTTGCAGTTTCAAATCTTCACATTTTTATTCTCTTTTTTATTTTTTTTCTCTCTAACATTGATGGAATATGCATATGGGTTAAAAAAGAAAGTTGTATAAGAATCACAACAATAAAAGTGTAATATAGTTTTTCCTTATAAATCAGAATGTGTCCTCCTTTTGATTCTATAAATACAATTTAATCATGTATACCCATCAAATGCCATTCAGTAATAGATGAAACATTAAAGTAGACACTTCTCTTTAATTTAACATGGACACCAACATGTCTTTGACCCATATGTTGTGTGTTAACAGCAGTCTGACTGTTATTTATTTATTTATTTATTTATTTATTTTGTTAAACAGGAGATCCCCCATGTGTAACCCACCTCCCATCACAAAGACCTCCTACACAGGTATATCTACCTTTACTTACATGTAATATTATTATTTTAATATTGCCAACAAAATTGAAGACAAGGCCTACTTTTGTATTGTTTATATACTAAGAATTCTTAGTTTTTTTGTTTTTCCATTTTTTAAAATGACTTTTTCTTTCCTTTAGTCATTTAGTTCTCAGAAGGGATAGTTCCCCCAAAACTGAAAAATCTGTCATTAATCCACGCTTTACCTGCTCCAAATTAGTTTGACTTTCTTTCTTCTGTTGAACAGAAAAGAAGATATTTTGAAGAAAGCTGAAAACCTCTAGCCACTGACTTCCATAGTATTTAACACAGGCTTATTGTGAAAACGTACCCTTGTATACATTTCTGGAGAGCGGGAAATATGTAGCCAGAGCTACCTATGGCTGCATTTTGTCTTTAAATTGACTGCTACGAAGCAGTATGACACCGCTGACGACTTATGGTTTTTTTTTTACGCTACCAACTGACCACTTACCTCCATATGCACGGCTTTTCCATTGTTACCAGTTTGCCCAGTGGCTCGTCACGAACATCAGTGGACGTAAGACACAGAGAGGAGTTGACCGTGATGAAGTGGTACAAGTTCCGCAAAGAACGATTCCAGAAAGCAGGTTAAACTAAAACAATAGGCAATAAAAATATAATAAACAAGTAAATAACAGGGTGAGAACGTGGTAAGATCTGATTTTGAAAACACTCTCGGTTGTTTTTGGGGAAGGGGTCAGGTTGGGATATTAGTTGTTAGGTCAGTCAGTGGACAGCGGCCTCTGGTGGATTTTCATGAGAACAGCAGGCGTGAATACTCGCAAGAGAAATTTGAGATCTGAAAAAAACGTACACAATGGCCTCTGGCAGATTTGCTAAAACAAAACCTGCAAAAAAAACGTAGCTCCTGGTACGTTTTTCGCACTCTCCAGAAATGTATACAGGGATACATATCCAAAATGAGCCTGGGTTGATAGTATTTGTTTTTCCTACTATCGAAGTCAATGGTTACAGATTTCCAGCTTTCTTTAAAATCTTCTTTAGCGTTTAACAGAATAAAGAAACTCATGAAGATTTGGAACCACTTGATGAGATGAGTAAATAGTGAGTACATCTTCATTTTTGGGTGAACTATCCCTTTAAGTGTATTTCAAATACTTGTGTGCTCTTTTATTTCAGCTTTATATCAGTTACTAAATCAGTTTTGTAATAGATTTAGCGTCAGTTATCAAAATCAAAACTGCATAACAGATTTTCGTAAGATATCCAGATTCTCCAAAGAGCTCTTCCTGTGGTCTTTTGGCTTGGTTTTGTATTTGGGATAAGGGTTGTTTGGAGAACTGTGTGATATGAGGGATGAGCTTGTCCTTGTGTGGCACCTTCCGTTTTGTCTATACCAGCATGAGGGCAACATCCAGACGTCACATATCACTCCCTGAAGCTGATAAGAGAAATGAAACATGTCACCATACCCTGAATGCACAAAGTGAAGCTTCTATTTTTCATAATTGTTTGCTTATGCATATATCAGCTTTATCATTTAGCATGCCTTCAGAAATATTGCGCTTTGGTATAATCGTGGTGCTCTGTTTATGAGGTTTAAGGAAAAGCTTGTTTTTGAGATGCAGGTGTTTGACCTAGAACTGCGTTGGATGTTTAGCATGAGCAGAGCGTTCAGCCGCACAGATGAAAAGCACCAATGTTATAGATTTATTCTATTGATTTGTACTAGAAGCAGTGAGCAGATGGACACATTATACAATTTACCGACCCATGCTGAGTTCATATGTCATGTGACCAGGGCGGCACGATGTATGGTTTCACAATGTGCGCATGTAGGATGTGCAATGTTGGGTCGGGGTTATTGTTGATCAGGCTCCACAGTGGAATGTGGACTCATTGCTAAGTATAACTAAATGAGAGTGAAAGTTTAACATTTGCATACGTTTTTAAGGCCAGGGCTGTGTAAGCATTTCAAGCCAGTTTAGTAGTAGTGAGTAGGGATGTAGCCAGTAGGGACGCGACGGAAATAAAAATTCAGGGCCAAAACTGCAAATTCCAAAATATGAAAATTGCTTTGTAAAATAATTTATTATTTTAATAAATAATATTTTTAAAAATGTGTACGAAAAATTTTGCTCAATAATGCTAATCATACAGATTTTTAAAAATACAGGGCCATAAAATAAGCTCATGTTATTGACAGCGAACGAGTCAAGAGGTGTCATTTGTTGCCATGACAGCACAGTAGAGCTATCGCAAGCAGCAAAAACAAGTATACTACATAGAAATGTCCTGTCGGCGCATTATTTGAGCAGACTTTGCTTTTCTGATGCATGTGCAGTGCATAGCAATGTATACATAGAGTTGAAGTCAGAATTATGAGACCACGTTTATTTTTTCCCCCAGTTGCTTTTTAACAGAGAGCAGATTTGTTCAACACATTTCTAAACATAATAGTTTTAATAACTCATTTCTAATAACTGATTTATTTTATCTTTGCCATGCTGACAGTAAATAATATTTGACTAGATATTTTTCAAGACACTTCTATACAGCTTAAAATGACATTTAAAGGCTTAACTAGGTTTATTAGGTTAACTAGGCAGGTTAGGGTAATTAGGCAAGTTATTGTATAATGATGGTTTGTTCTGTAGGCAGTCGAAAAAAATTAGCTTAAAGTGGCTAATAATATTGACCATAAAATTGATTTAAAAAAATTTAAAACTGCTTTTATTCTCACTGAAAACAAATAAGACTTTCTCCTGAAGAAAAAATATCAGACATACTGTGACAATTTCCTTGCTCTGTAAACATCATTTGGGAAATATTTTAAAAAGAAAAAAAAAATTATAGAGGGGTAATAATTCTGACTTCAACTGTACGTGTACATAAACAGAACATCCACAGAGTAGATTATTGAGCTATTTTGAGTGATAACCAAGACACGCATCCAAGGTTTTTGATTTTGTGCATCAAAAAAAGGGATTAACAGCCTTAAATTTAAGCCAGAGTTAGAGCCATTTTTAGCATTTAGTATACACTGTACATTTCTGGAGTGACAATTACATTTAAAATAGGGATGTCAATTGATTAAAACTTGGGTTGCACTTTATTTTAAGATGCCCTTGGCACAGAGTAACTATTTAAGTACTGTAAATTAATTACATGCACTTAGTACTTACTGTATGGTTAGGGCCAGGATCCACAGAGTAGAATATTGAGCTATTTTGAAAGTTAACCCAGGCCCACATGCAAAGTTTTCGAAGGTGTGCTTATTTTCTTTTTCTTTTTTCTCTTTTGGCCGATAAATTTTTAGTGGTCAAAAATTCAGTGCATGCCTAGTTTAAAACATTTTGGGCACAAAATTCTATTAACAAAGTTTGATTAATTGTATTAGATTGCGTGTACAAGACTATTATTATTTTATATTATTATTATTATTATTATTATTATTATTATTATATATTTTTGTGTACTATTATATTATATTCAAATACTGTTAAACATCCCAGAAAAACAGTAAAGTATTGTTACTATCATGTATTATTATATTATATTATATTATATTATATTATATTATATTATATTATATTATATTATATTATATTATATTATATTATATTATATTATATTATATTATATTATATTATATTCATTCATTTTCTTTTCGGCTTAGTCTCTTTATTAATCTGGGGTCACCACAGCAGAATGAACTGCCAACTTATCCAGCATATTTTTTACGCAGTGAATGCCCTTTTAGCTGCAACCCATCACTTGGAAACATATTATATTATATTATATTATATTATATTATATTATATTATATTATATTATATTATATTATATTATATTATATTATATTATTTTATAGTGTATGTGTATGAATGCAAGAGTGAGAGGGTATGGGTGTTTCCCAGTGATGGGTTGCAGCTGGAAGGGCATCTGCTGCCTAAAACATATGCTGGATAAGTTGTTCATTCTGCTGTGGTGACCCCTGATTATTAAAGGGACTAAGTCGAAAAAAAAATAGAAGGAATAAATATTGCAGAAAAGCAAAAAATCATAATTTAAAAAAATTCCAATACCATGCAGCTCTACATGTTACAATTAAAAGTGCCTGGATGGCTGTAGACAGCCATAATGTTTGGGATTGTACAAGATTTGAGCTGGTCATCAGGAGGTTATGTCCTAAAGACACGTTGCTGTTTAGGCCTTATAATGCTACAGGGAGATTGTCTTCGTAATAAGTGTTTTCTAAGTCGCTGTGTGTCACCTAAATGACTAATTAGTAGGGCTTGCTATGGCTTGAGTCCTAAAAAGCTACAGCTTGTTAAGAGGTGTGATTAGACTTGCACAGACAATAAAACAAGTGATAAATAGACTTAAATTGAAGCAAGGGGCAGAACCATTTTTAACATGTACATTTCTGGAGTGACAATTACATTTAAATTAGGGATGTCAATTGATAAAAACTTGGGTTGCACTTTATTTTAAGGTGTCCTTGGCACAGTGTAAATATTCATTGAACTACATTGAGTGGCATTAATTAGTATTCAATTCAATTCATCTTTATTTCTATAGCACTTTCACAATGTAGATCGTATCAAAGCAGATTAACACAGAAGTTCTAGTTCTAGTCAGTCCAGTTTTCAGAGTTGAAGTTCAGTTCATTGTGGTTTAATTTTCAGTGCTGGAAGTCCAAACACTGAAGAGCAAATCCACCGATGCGCAGCTCCACAAGACCCAAACCAAGCAAGCCAATGGCGACAGTGGTGAGGAACATACTTTAATTGAGGATTTAAAGGAAAAAAAAACCTAGAGAGAAACCAGGCTCTTAGTATAGTAAGTACTTTTTATTTACTATATCAGGGGTGTCCAAACTCTGGTCCTGGAGGGCCAATGTTTTGCATAGTTAAGCTACAACTTCATTCAACATACCTCCTTGGATGTTTCTAGTATACCTAGAACCAGCTTGATTAGCTGGTTCAGGTGTGTTTAATTGGGGTTGGAACTAAAATATGCAGGACACTGGCCCTCCATGACCGAGTTTGGACACCCCTGTACTATATGGTTAGGGCCAGGATAAAGGTTAGGTCTAGGGTTAGTTGGGGATAATTATACATAATTAAGTGTAAATAATGTAATTACATGGAACATGTGTAACAAGGATACCTTCAAATAAAGTCTTACTAAAGTTTTTGATCAAAATAATTACACGATGTGGAGATATATTAATGTTGAATATGTACTTATATTAATTTCTAATAATAAATATTTCATATTCCACAGTGTACATCAAGAATTGCAAACATTAATGGTATTACACGTTTTCTACAATTCTAGGACAAGTTTTCTACAATAAATGATATGGTCTGAGGTGTAAATATATATAGACTGTATATTAATCATATTTAAAATGATTCTGGAGAGAATGTCCTGGTTGACACAGCAGTGAGAGCATCGTCATCCTGATTGCAGGATTCCAGTTCAGCTTTTCGCAGCAGCTCTGCTGTCTGTGCAGCCAGTGCCCTCTCATGGGCTGGTGTATGATGTCGCGCTAAGCACGAGAAGAATGTCATTGACGTCAGTGCAGTCTCTTTCAGAGAAAGTGGCACCCCAGCCCTGTGTTCTCCACCACACATGCAGAAAGAGAGAGAGAGAGAGACAGCCAATGAACAAGATAATGCACGCATTGTTAAAGGAGTGTACATGTGGCACATGCATACGTTCTGTCTGGCTTTGTTGTCATAGCTGCTTCAAACAAGCAACATGTCAAGCATAGTTAGTCCTTTGTTATTTTTTCCCACTTGTTTTATGCCCTCATATGGTCATATGGTTTTTCAAGGTGCACAAATGCCTTGTAAAGAACATTTGATGAAATTTAGCAAAGAAATGTAAGAATACTTGAAATGGGAACTCAAATTCTGCAGCTGATTGTAAACCTATATCATAAAGCACATTCTCTCTCTCTCTCTCTCTCCCAGAGCTAGCTTATTTCTGCTAGTGTCATCTGTGATGCAGGCTGAGCTCCTCATCCGCTGGAGTTCAGGCCAGGTTTTGGCTGGAGCTCTGTCTGTCTCTCTCTCTCTCTCTCCTGCATGCAGCGGCACTGGCAGGCTTCAGGCTTCTGTTTCAAGAGGAAGCTCGGCTCACGTTCGGCTAGCGACGCTCTTCGGCTGCCCCGCGCTCGTGCAGGGCATCCACCTCTCAGAGAACGGGGGCCGGGCAGATGCCAGCACCTCTGTTGTCTTTTTTGCGGCAGGAGCGGAGACAGACACAAGTCCCTCATCTGTTGGCGTCAGCTCTGCGTGTGTGCTCTGCGTGTGTGTGTGTGTCTGAGCGAGTGTGTACGTGTGTGTGTTATTGTTATGACACTATGCCTGTCTGCTTTGTTGTGGGCCGGATTGCACGCTCCTGAGGGCCAGCGGCTTCTTGGATGTAGAGGGGCATCCATCAGGCAGAGATGGGCCTGCAAACAGCAATGACATTCGCTCCGTCTGGGGATGAGAGCTTTCCTGACATGTAGGACTGTGGATTCTGCGGCCGTGGTTTTGTTTGTGAGCAAGCTTGTTGATCTGTGTGGCCCCTTTGTGTGTTTTCTTAAGGGATATAGTGTTCCCCTGCTTCTCCCACTGCCGGTCGCCTCGTTCGGATTACCCCTCTGCTGTTTTTGGAGACCTTGTGTTTTGGCTCGATTTGGAGCCCCATCATTCACTGTGGAGGGCTTCAGCACAGCATGAAGAATCACCCATGCGTTCTGTCGGGATATCCCAACATGGCGGTGTACAGCAGTTTGGGCCCTCTGCTGGGAGCCTCAGCTAGACCCCTACAGCAGCTGAGATCTGACCGCTTGCCTCCTTCTCTTCCTCCAGAGGAGGCCTACCAGAAGCTGGCCACTGAGACCCTGGAGGAGCTGGACTGGTGCCTCGACCAGCTGGAGACCCTGCAGACCAGGCACTCGGTCAGCGAGATGGCATCCAACAAGGTAAGAGCGTACAGGTGTTTTTATCTACTCTTGAGCTGTTTGAGGATTCACCTGAGTGCTTCTGCAAGGTGATGGAGGGTCATTATTTTTTAAAATATCTCAATTTAGGCCAATTTCTTTTCATTTATTTTGCAATTATTGACTACTTATATCAGTTTTACAAACTTCACTCCAAATTTCAAGGCATGACCTTGGGCACTTATTTTGGATTTAAAACTTTTTATTATTTTATTGCTATTTCAGGTTGTGTATTTGTAGCATATTTTAAATCAATTTTGTTTTAATTTATTTGAGTTATTCATTTTATACTTGACATAAAATCCCAAATTAGGACACATAGTGTGTATTTATTGCTTAATATTATTATTGTATTTTATTTCAATTCTTTATATCTCAAACTTTTTCTCACAATCACAATTAGGGTATTATTTTTCCATTTTTTTTGTAATATATGATTTATTCATTTAAAGAAATTACATTTTAGCCACTTATTTATATAACAAGTTTACAAACTTCAGTCACAATCTCAATCAGGGCACCTATTGTGCATTTCATTCATTCATTTTCTTTTCGTCTTAGTCCCTTTATCGATTTGGGGTCACCACAGCAGAATGAACCGCCAACTTATCCAGTATCTGTTTTACGCAGCAGATGCTCTTCCAAATGCAAACTATTGTGTATTTATAATTTATAATGTTTTAAAAAAATTATTGTTATTGAAGTTAATGATTTCTTAGATGCTTCTCTCACAATCTGAGCATCTGTTATGGATTTGTTGTTGTATTTTATTTGAACTGCTTCATGAGCTGAGTATTTTGTACTTGTTTATAATATCATCTTGTGGTACAATGTGTCCTGATTTTTATTTTATTTTTTTATGTTGGTGTTAAATTTGGCTGCTGTTGGTTTAATTCTGGTTGACCACATCACCAGTAAATATCACCAGATCACCAGTTTTCATACTCTATAATATCATGTTCATACATGAGCGTCGGATTATTAATATTCATCATCATCAGTAACTCAAGCATTCGGTTGTTTTGTGGATTCAGATGGAGTGTCAGTGTATTGTCATGCTTCGCTGTCGTTCAGCCAGTGCTCTCACTGTTTGCAAAAACAGCAGCAGAATCGTCATTGGGGCTGCACTGAGCATGCCCACCGTCTCCAGCAAGGCCCTAGTACACATACAGCATGCTAATCAGCCTGTAGTGTTCATCTCGCCCAGTGCGCTCAGCCACAGCGTAGAAAAAAAAAACAGATTCCAGATGCTTCCAGTATTTCTCATACAACCAGGCTAAAGGTCTATCAGAGGTGACCGGTCATCAGTAACAAAAGCGTCAAATACACATATTTTCATGCATGTGTTTCAAGTGAACCCCCCCCCTCCCTCTGCTCCTCCTCCATGCCCAGTATCCATGGAAATGCACAAGGCCCGTCAGTCTGCTTTGTTGCTTTAGCTCGGTAGCAGAAGTGGCGTATCCCGTATAAATCACAAGTGCTAGATCCTACTGGACTGAGTGAAATCTGCTTTAGCTGTCTCAGATGCAAAGATTCTCAGATGCCATAAAAAAAAAACGTTTATTAAGGTGAGACACTCCAAACAAAAGCACCTGTCAGTTTTGAGATTTTGGAAAAGAAATCATCCAAAATACACTTTTGTTGTGCTTCATTAATTTGTATCTGTAGTTTTCAAGTACGCAACATGATACTTATTACTATATAATAAACATAATAATACTTATTTTATTCATTTTTTCTAGCCATTATTTTTTAAATTAAGTCGTTTTTTTATCCTATACCAAGCCACAAATCTCTTTACTTTGGCATCACTTACAGGTTTATTTATAGCTCTATTCTGAGGTCATTTTAAAAATCATTATGTTCCAATTGTACTTGATTTCTTTCATGGTATACCACTCAGTAAAAACTGTTTACTGTAATATGTGGGTGGGGGGAATAAAAAAAAAAAAAAAAAAAATATATATATATATATATATATATATATATATATATATATATATATATATATATATATATATATATATATATATATATATGCACAGTTAAATTCAAAATTATTAGCCCTCATTATTTTTTTTTCCCCAATTGCTGATTAACAGACAGATTTTTTTATCAATGCTTTTTTAAACATAATAGTTTCAATAACTCATTTCTAATAACAGGCCTGTAGCCAAGGGGGGGTTCAGGGGGTTCGAAAGACCCACCCCCCACTTACAAAGTCTAGATCGTTACCCCTATATGAGCTCATTTATCCAATTTTTCATTGCAATGCCAGCATATATTGTGAAAAATTTAGATAGAAGAAGGCTTTAAAATAATTTTTAATTATTCAAGTGGCCAAATTATGACTGAGGGAAGTTGAATGTGCTGGCCTGTTTTTATTTGCCCATAGGCTACAGTTTGTATTTTAAAACAAGTTTTACCAGATTTCTGTTTTTATTTTATAATAAATGTTAATAAATTTGTCTTTCCCAGTGTTGGGTTGTGGCTGAAAGGGCATCCGCTGTGTAAAACATACAGTATATTGGATAAGATTGTGGTTCATTCCACTGTGGCGACCGCAGATTAATAAAGAGACTAAGCCAAAAAGAATGAATGAATAATAAATTTGTATTTAAAATTAAGAATCTTTTTCATATTTTTTTATTCATTTTTTAAAATGCAAATGTCATAATATTATTTATAAAACTGGAAAAACTTACAGTTTAAATTCTAATTAGTAAACAATTACTTCATAGTAAAATAGTATGGTACTTTGACAATTGTAGGAAATATTTTTGTTGCATCAAAAAGGTTTGGTTATGATCACCATCTGAGAAGCTAATCCAGCAAAGATAGTTCTTAACTTGTTACTAAAATGCATAATTAAATAGAAAAATGAGGAGAATAACTGCAAAAAAAAAAAACATTATAAAACCTCCACTTTTTCAGAAAAAAAGAACCACCCCTTTCTAAAGGCTGACTATGGGCCTGTTTTGTCCATGCCAATATAGGATAATTAAGATATTATTATTATTATTATTATTATTATTATTATTATTATTGGATCTTAACTCCTAATGCCGCTAGTTGATACACTCAAATTTTTTTTTTTCAACACATCCCATAATTTCTAAAATATCAACCTCTACTAAATGGTTTATGTCGGTTTGAGGTAAAAGTACCGAAAATAATACATAAACTATGAAAAATCAGAAAATATGAAGTGTAAGACCAATTTATTATCAAAACATTATCAAAATAAAACATTTTAAATACTAAATCATCTTCATTTTTTGAAGTATGAGATAAAAATTTAAAACATTTTTCTTTTTTTTTCTTTTTTTTCTTTCTTTCTTTCTTTCTTTCTTTTTTTTTTTTTTTTTTTTGAAAAAAAGCAAAAGGATTATATTTGTTTGATTTTTGCTGTGTTTATAAGCCATTAATTAAAACAGTCATTCTTTAAATGACTTTAACAGACATTATTTAAAACCGTCCAAACATGGTCAACCATTTGGTTGAGCAGGCAGTTAAAGGGATTGCATTCATCATTCATCAGTTTCTATTTGGATCTGTTTTACAGCTCTAAAGTGTTATTAACCGTGTAAATTACTTCATAAGATTTTCAAGCTAAATGACACTTTTGTTTTAATGAAGCTGTTATCTGTGTAGCAAATAAGGTCAGGTATCAATTATATAAGGCTACATATGGAAGAGTTTATAAAGACTCAAACATTAGCATGCATTAACACTCGCAATAGCAGTAGTGGCAAATCCTGTATAAAACTGGCTCACAGCCGCCACGCAAGTGCTAGATCCTACTGGACTGAGAGAAATCACACTTTCAGGATCAAAAATAGTCTGCTATGAAAAACATTGTGTAGAGATGTCCAGCTGCCATTGTTTTTATGATTTATTAACTGTCATAATTGTCAACAATGTATATGCGGCATCAGTTTAGATCCTTTTTTAACTCTGGAATTGTATTTTTAGGCATGTATGATTTTCTCAGAACACTTTTGGCTTGATTAAGCAGTGATCTGTGTAGCAAATAACGGAAATAAACTTGTTAGATATTTTAAAGATATTTTTAGATATTTTTAAGCTACAAAGAGCTGATTTTAGTATTTAAAACTCAAACATTCACACGCATTAACATTTTAATGCTTTGTAAATGACATTAAATTGCATTAACAATTTAAACATTGAAAATGTCTAAGCTGATCTTATATTCTTGATTGAGTCTGCAAAATATGTGTTAAAGACATTAAATGAAGGTTTATTTTCATTTACAGTGGCTAATGTTGACTGGACTAATCATTATCTGACACATCCTGCCATTGTTATAATATTTTTAAACTGGAGTCAGGTTTGGGCCAGTAAGAAAAAAACTATTCAGACATTTTTCTGATGATATGGAGTGAATAAATATTTGTAGAATTTACACCAAATAGTAAAAGCTGCTTGAAGACAATAAATAAAGAAATAATATATTTTTAGGAATTTTTAAATAATGTTTCATTATAAAACATAAGTAGCACTTTACAATAAAGTTGTAGTAGTTAATGTTAGTTAATTCATTTACTAAATGAACAAACATTTAACAATACATTCATTACAGCATTCATGTTAGTCAATGTTAGCTAATTAAAATAAAGTCGTTCAGTGTTAGTTCGTTAACTGACCGTGCATTAACTAATGTTAACAAGCAATCATTTTAATAATGCATTAGTCAATCTATAACTATGATTAATAAATGATGTACTGTCATAAATAGTATTTAATGCTTCAAAATATTTACAATAAATAATTATTATCATTTTATTTTCTTGTTAGTTTGTTTATGATTATTCAGTTTAAATATTATTAATTGCGACTTTTCGGAGCATAAAGCAGAATGCATGATTTACTAAAATAAACAAACATCTAACAAGTTACAAATTAATGGAAATGAAGTTGTTCATTGTTAGTTCATTGTTACTGACATAATTAACTAATTA